ATGATGCTGCCACCACCACATTAAGCTGCAGCTTTAGTTTTCACATATAGTCTGAAAAGGACCTTCTGACTTAACTTCTCCCCTGTATGGTTAACATAGAACTGAAAACCAGACTTCTTGGTGCTTCAACAATTTTTTTGAAAGGTTAAGAAAAGCATTGAGTTCTTCTGTTGGTCCTTCAGAGAAAATCTGTAAAGCTTCAATCTGAAGGGGAGCTTAGAACCTGGAGGAGAGTCAGCTTTATTTACCTGGTCCTGATGGTCAAAGAATGTGTTGATACAAGCTCTGGAGCCGGCGTCCCAAACCTTCACACTCTTGTCTGATGAGCTGAGGGTGGCAGAGAGAAGGTGGTTTTACTTTTCTCATCGTTCATCTCTATCTGATCTGTGAGGAAGAGGATTCATCACAGCAAGAACTGATCTGTTCTGGGTCTGCTAGTCCCACCTGGAGACGAAGTGGGTGTGGTCCGGAGAGAAGGCGACATTAAGAACCCAGGATCCATGACCGCTTAGCGTGCCGGCCAGGTTGGCGTGTTGTCTGTGGAAGGGACAGAACAACGCCTCCATCCATTACTTCACCTTATGTGATATTTTACTGAGCAGACTGAAGCGCTACAGCACTGAAGAATCATTAACCAGCTAATAAGGTGTGTTTAATGTTGCCGACAGGAGAACTTACACGTCATAGATTTTGATGTATCCATCATCTGAGGCTGTGACCAGCAGCTGGGAGTCTGGGGAGAAGGTTAGGGATCTGATGGGCATGGCGTGACCTGCAGACACACCAGACAGCTCTCAGCTCCAATGTCAGGATGGTGGGAATCTTAAATCCCGGAATAATGGAGCATATGTTTTATCCATGCTTAAATATCACACTTTTCTTTTTTTTTCGGAAAGCATTTAATTAGCATTTTTAACATAAAGTTCAGAATAAATCCCCTTGAATTGCTGGTAGTCAGTTTCCTTCTTTGTCAGCATCTGGATCAACAAAGAAGACAACATGTATACCTGTTGTACATTTTGACAAATTTAGATTCTTTACTGGACCTATATCACCAAAAATTACTTTTTTTATTTCTTTTTTCTGCATATTCCTCAGATTCAGCGAAGAGCAAACATGCAGATGGGTAAACTGTAAAGATGACTCCAATCAAAACACTTTTCCTTTAGAAAACTGAAAACAAGAACAGGTCTGGAAAATCAAATCTTTTATTTTTCAATACTCTTTATTTTTTTCCCAGACCTTTTAAAACTTCTTGTGTTTGGACAAAAAAAAACCCACATCTGTCATGACAAAACGACTGCTTATTCTAAGGATTTCTGTTAATTTATGGCCAGTTTTTAACATCAAAGTAGCTCAAGATTAATTTAAGCTACATATCTCCAGGCACCCAACTCTACTGTGCATACAACATGTCTGTGAATATGCATGTATGGGTGATTAACACTTTTAAACCGTTTCACCCATTCCAGTTTTAGGAATCTTCAGCCTTTTAGCTCATTTTAGCCTCTAACACAGGATGCATCCAGGGAAAACGAAAACATCCCAACTTTCCGAGGGAACAAAGGATGGACTGACATGAACGGGCACATGGAGCTCCTACGATAGGGAAAACAGTCTGGAAATGTTTAGGTTCTTTCATTTTTAATGCAGTTTTTCAGCTTATGCAAATCCTTCAATCTAACATTTGCATTAGAGTCTAAATGAAAAAAGATAAACTTTTATGTGCGGGATTTAACAATAAAAGCCTCAAGAAATATTGTGGGCTGTTTTTTAATTTAATCAATGTGCTGTTTAAGTCTGGCTTTAGGTTCCAGGAAATAAAAGAACCAAGGCAACCACCTGAGCAGTCGCTCAGCTGATTGTGTTGCTCCTCAGCATCTTTAGTGCGCTGGCCTCTAAAGCTGGGCATACAATGTACAATTTTTTTTTTGTCTTTTTCGGGCCGAGTCTCCAGTTTTGCAAAAAAAAAATTTCCACAGCCACCTCCTGATTAGGAATGGTAAGGTTGGGAGAAAATCAAACGTTTGTAATTCAGTCAGCCGTTGGTAGGTGTTGTTGAAGCAGAGCTACCAGCCGATTTACCAGAACCTCGAGCACTGCAAATGTGAAAACAAGGGATTGCTGCTTCTTCTTCCAGACTGACGAGTCCGACCAACGCCAGCTCTTGGAGCTGAGTCCGACGTGCGGTTTTTGGATGTGCAGTGTGAGCAGGTAGATCTCATCAGAACGTCGGGTCGCACAGTATGAGAACATGCATTGTGAAGTGTGAACTTTTAAAATCTGCGATTTCATCATACTGTTTGAGCTGTAGCTGCATGCAACGGTTGAAAATATCGCACATTGTTAACTGTCAGGTTATTCCTGAGGATAATCACCACATTTTATTATATAAGCTTGTAACTGAGCAAACCTTCAAGTGTGTGGAGAAGCTTTCCAGTAGCGATATCGAAGATATTTATGATCCCATCAATGGCTCCGCTGGCTAAATACTTCCCGTCGGGGCTCTGAGGAGTAAAGAGAAAATGACAGATGAGGAAAACTCTGAGGAAGATTTCAGCCTCTTTAACTGATTTCCACAACTTTTTTTTTTTTTTCACTCACGTGTAAATATTTCAGCTCAGGTTATTAAAACAAAGACAATCAAAGTTAATCCCCAAATGCTTTTTCAAAATATATGACTGTGTTTATCAAGAGAAGAAAGCAATCCAAGCCAACCTTGTCGTTAAAACGACTCTAGCGGCGGCACCTACTGTCATCAAGTATGTGAGCCCACCAAAGAGTCGTTAACATCACTTTTTAACAGATTTCTTTCTTTGTTCGAGCAAAAACGGACGGTTTAACTTGACTCCAGGGTCTCCCCTCATCAGATTGGAGTCCTTACTTTGAATAGGCCACTCCAAAGAAGGTGAACAGCTGCATAAGCAGCTAAAACAGTGACAGCTTGCATTGACAATGAAGATGTGAGATATGACACTGAAACAGTGTAAATACAAACACCACAAAAAAAGTAAAAACTAATGATGAGCCTTTTTGGCTGCAGCATTTTTTCTATGAGATGGTTTCAGAGTCACTGCGGGGTTCCTGCAGCTACATGTTTGTCACTACAAGCTGAACTATAGGCTAATCAGGAAACCATGTCAGTCAATGGTCGACTCTGGGGCTGCAACTAACAATAATGGTTCCTTAAAGAAGATGAATTATGAAATTAAATTAGGTGAAAGTAACATTTTTCCACCTGGGCAGTTTTGGATAGAATATATTGAATGACAAAAAGGTTTATTTATTTATTTTTTTACAATTTTGGCTTAATTGTTGCTCTAAGCGGGTCGC